TATTACAGACTGTTCTGCGTGCTCGTTAAAGCTCGCTCTCATTCAGGCGAAAATATTGTAGTAACATGAGGGAGGGTATATACGTTGTTAACGTACCTTACAAGTAATGCCAGATGACTTTTGTCGACACCATGATGAGCAGTCTATAGAAAGTCTATGATAAAGCTGACTTGAACTGCTCTTACTAACGGAAAACTAGCCTGTGGTGCAGGTTTTCTACCAAAAAGATAGTCGGGTCACTTCATTAGTTGTTGAATCACTCGTGAGCATATCGTATCAAAAAGGTCCGCCAAATAGAACGAATCGAAAATCAGTAATTAAAACGACGAATCAGCAAAGATTAAAGATATAATATATATATGAGGCTAGTTAGTTTCTACAACGAGTGCAGTCAGTTCCTTCTCCACCTGAACTCTCCAACGGCGTGGAGGTCTTCCTCTAATTTTGTTTCCAACGGCGGGTACTGCATCAAGTACTTTCAAAGCTGGAGTATTTTCGTACATTCGGACAATATGACCTAGCCAGGTCTCTTGTTTCGCTGAACTACGTCTATCGTCGTATATCTATTTAGTATAGCTCCTCAATTCCATCGTCTGCGGTATACAACGTTGATAATATACAAAGCACCATAAATTTAATGCAAAACCTTCTTCTTCAGAACTCCTGACGTCGAATCAACGGTTGCTGTCATTATCCATGCCAACGCGAGAATGATGAGTGACTTGTAGAGTTTAGTCTTTATTCGTCGCGAGAGGACTTAACTTTTCGATTACCACTAACTAGGTACCAAAGTAGCACCTATTGGCAAGAACGTTTCTACGTTGGACTACAAGTCGTCTAGCATTCGACTTATGTCTGAATGTAACTTTTATGACTGTCAACAGTGTTGGGGAAGCCAAGTCGCGAATGCGCTGACTATTTGTTTGATGACAGAAGATACTATTGTATCTTCGAAATATTTTTCGACTTGTACTCGTTAACAACCAGATCCATACGCTTCGCTGCTTTAACCATTACTATCTTCCGCTGGAATCCTCAATTTGAATTATGTAGAGTACAAAGTAGTGTAGAAGCTTAACTAAGCGGCGGTAATAGATCGCGGCTATAACGCTATTGAAACATTGTTATAGGTTTACATACAGATGCTGCGATCTAACCCAAATTCTTACGACGCTCAGTCAAATTTAATCTGACCAACCTTAGCACTCCTTTTGCTGAGCAGAGTGCTAGAAAATATTAGCATACCTATACGTCATTAAAGCAGCTTTGCCAAGATTATGTTAACTAATATTGTTATGCGAAAATTCGCACATTTTTATGCAATTGAAAAATATTTAAATTACACGATTATTTTGTTGGTGTTTGCCAAGCTTTAAATTGTGACGTGTGCTCTCTCAAATCGTTAATGGCGACTAAAATTAGATATCTCAAATGAACGCAAAGATCAGATTTACACGTACACAAGCCAGTAAATACTTGTATATAGTTATATATTATATACTATATATGTATGCACGAATATATAAGCTAAACTGAACTTTTGGTAGAATTATTAGTCGCTGGAGAGTTAAAAATACTTGTATATAAACAAAATGTTTGTGTATAAATATATATACAATATATATATAAAGTGTTTGTTCTCTTTATATAAAATAACATTTTTCGACTTAAGTATTTGTATGTTCCAGTGTGCTGCTGTATTAATTTAGACGTTGATATCGCACCCATTAAAAGTAATTTATTCATATACTCGCACAAATATGTATATATGTGTGTATATACATTTATATACATATGTACATACACAAATGAGCATATTGAAACCCATATACACTATAGGTATAGTCTATAGTCTACTCAAATACCTAAGTGGGTGCTCTAGCACCGATCGCTTCATGAAATAATCAAGCAAAGTTAGTGAGCAAACGTTCAACGTAGTTGTTCGCCTAAGCAACAGAGTGAGGCACACTTAATCAACGACGTGTGTTGCAAGTTATTCAAACTTATATGCTTACCATATGCATATGTATAAGTATATATAACATAGCGTTTGTATTTTCTTCACTCCCTCAAAATGTACTGAAATCAAACCACTTTCATTGAGAAAAATGGAAGTTTCGTTCCGAGACTCTAAAATTTTTCACAGTACACTTTCCTGCAAAGTTTCAAGCATTGCATCAGCTTTCTCTTATCTCTTGGATTTTTCGATCTTGCAAAAAAGCACGCATAATTTTGTGTACCGAAAACTTCCTTTTCTCTACAATCACTGTAGATAAATGCCATTCAGTCAAAATAGTAGTAGCAAATCTCTTTCTCTGTCGTGCATAAAGACACTTGCTTCCATGTAGAGCTAGTAGTCCGAGTAGAGTTCGTAATATGACAGAACCGTTCATCTCAAACTCAAAATGCTTATAAAAGTCTAATAAATGTAAGCCCTACCATTTTTAGACCACATACGAGATGTTACACTTTTATGAGTAGCATTTTTTTGTCAGAAATACCAGCTCCAAGTTTCGGCCCAGAGGTCGCCATACAAAAAATATTTAGTTTTATTCCGGGCGCTTTTTACCACACCATTTCCTAAGTTGAAACCTCCGACTGGACATTAACTTCCACGGAGTGAGCAATATTAAAAAAAAACGCAGTTTGTTTTGCTTCGAACGAGGTTTGAACCCGCCGTTTTTCGCGTTACGTTCTGTGTTAGTAAACTATTACTAGAATGTAAAAATGGTACAAGCTCTTGAAGGTTAAATGTTTAACAAAAAAAAAAAGAAAAAAGATGGTGGTAAGATTCAAGTTGGTTTTCATCGAAATTATCTAACGGTATGCGCAGCAAACGTGCAGTTTCGACGGTTTTCGACTATAGTGCGAGGAATGTTAGATGAGTGGGATTCGCAGGGCATGCAAAGAGGTGGTTCGTGTGATGCGGAGACTCATTGCATGCAGAACATATATTTAGTATGTCGGGGTCGATTCGGGATAAGTGGGAGTTTAACCTGCTACAGGAGCCAGAACGAAGTTGCGCAAGGGTCACTCTAGATTCTCGTGGCAATTCGAGCTCTTCCTCTGCGATGGGTGGTGGTTTAGGAGTCAAACCACCATTCATTGAAAGGGAGTCGGTGAAGTTGCTGATGGCTCCACTGTGTTTGGCGGTCAGTGCATGTCAAAAGTTCGTTGCGTCGGAAGTCTAGTCGGTGTAGTGTCTATTGTCGTCGACGTAATTAAGGAAGGACCTCTCCTCCTGTTGCAAGGAGGCGATTTCGCCCAGCAGAAACTGCTTGGATAGGAGCTCGTTATGTTCCTTAACCAGAAGCATACGGGCCTCACTGTGTAGGTGTTCGATTGGGGACATCAAGAGGCATTCCGTGATAGTCCGGAGTGCACTGTTTTGACATGTCTGGAGTTTCTTCGTCTGCGTTGCCCTACATCCATTAAGACCAGCCGGCCGATTGTCTTGTAGTATCTAGCAACATTTCTTTGTCTTTTCCCCAAAAGCTGCCGGCAAGCGATTTGAGAAGTTTGTTGCGGCTCTGTACTTTGGCAGTTATCGCGGTCGTGTGGGGAGTGAAGGAGCACAAGCTGTCAAATGTAACACCTAAAATTTTAGGGTTATTGACCGTCGGAATTGTAACGCCATCGACTGTAATGTTTAGTTCCAGTCTGTACTCCTTACGGGTTATATATAAAACATTCTTCGCCTTACTCAGTGATATTAAGGGTCTTTTCCCAACCCCAACCAAGTCTCTCCATACTGTAAGTCGATATTGTTACCGAAATGCCGGGTCCTGCTAGCGCTCACTCTGCCAACTTTACTTCACGCAGAAGAAGTTTTCAGCGTCAATTAAGAAAGGTCAGCAATCCGTTCCCAGGACAGTCGGGTCAATGTAACCGAAACGGACCCGAATTTTTATCCGACCAAGGACTGTCAAACCGGCACCATACCGCCAAATTACTTCAGAAATCTTTTCTGTTGCTATAACAACAACAACAACAAAGATCAGCAACTAAATGTAGCTGCAGTCATGAACTGTCAGCTGACTTCCTATTGCCTTCTACAAAAAATATTAGCTGACTCAGAGTTCGCTACAACAAACAACGCCACGACATTCGACTTCGCGTTGCTTAACGACATATTTTTTATTATAATTTAATCAAGTTACAATTAAGGTATTATACTCGTACCAGCAGTGTGGTGTATATCAGCGTAAATGTATGTATATGCATATATTGTATTTATGCATGTATGTATGCCTGTGTATATGTATGGCATATTGCTGCTTCCTTTTGATAGAACAAATTGTGTTGTCGGCGCGGATATGTTGCAACATCAGTAGAAAACATATTTTTAAGTGAAATTAATACTTAAGTACAATAACAACAAATTGCTGGTGCGTGACCCGCTATTGCGGAATGCGCCAATGGCTTTAAGTGCAAGCGTACGCGCGCCGCCGCAGCAATTGATATGGAGGTGTAGCTTGCAGTTATGCCTACTAGTGCGCACACACACACACACATATATATACCTAAATACATACAAATATTTGTACATATGTGTTTTTTTTTTATAATTAAAATTAATATTCAACTGCTTTTTAACTTTTAATAGTGAATTTTACGCCAAAAATTCAGTAAATATCCCGTTCTTCCATTCTCCGCTTATAAATTCCAAAATATCTCTTTATTATTTAATAACTATGAACATTTTTATTTTTATTTTTTTTATTGAATTTTTATTTAACTAAATATCCCACATTTATAAATTTTTTTAAAAATTTAATTAAGTTAACTGTACTCATTTACTACTACCTAAAAATTAATCAATCCTTTTCATGCATATTCTCTCTTCTTTCTACATCCGTCATTAAATTGTTTTATTTTGCTTGTTCGTTTCATATTCCTTCTTTTTCAATATAAACACGCACAAGAACATTAAATTAACTTTAACTTATATAATTAATTTTGCTTCAAAAGCAACAAAGAAAATAACAAAAAGCAAGCAGTTAGTCTTTCTTGAATATATATATATTTTCTGCCATGGCTTCTAACTATTTTACTGGCTACTTTACAAGCAATTTCTCAAATTTAACGAAAATTATTTTCCTTACTAAGTCAACTTCTTATGCATACAAAAAATATTTTATTTATTTTAATAAAAATAAATTTTGTGTTTTACTATTGCAGCCGCTTACGTCTGTATATATTTTGGAGACCGAAGTTGCGCTTGAAATTGTTACAATTTATGCTAGCGCCAACCACTACATACTACGTTTCGTTCATGCTCAGTTCGGCATTTTTATGCCTTGTTGAAATTCTAGCGTTTGTTGTTGTTTTTTCACTTCATCCTGCATGTCCAAAGCCATTTTCTTATATTTCTCCGCTTCCTTTTCATTCTTTTCAATACCATCGCCACGCGCATACATCTGACTCAGATTTGCGCATGCGTACATATTGCGTAGTTCACAAGCTTTATAAGCAAATTCGAATGCCTTCTTCATATCCTTGTGCAAAATGTAATCGCTATCTTTTGGTGAGGCTTTTTTGATATCCGTAGTGCTAACTTGTGTGGACGTTTCCGGTTTCTTTTGCACGCCGGAAATATGCATGCCAGAGAGGTAGAAACAGGCGGTGGCGTTATTCATGTCGCAGCTCTTCGACAAGCATTCGATGCCCTGAAATATATTCAAGAATTAATTAAAATAATACAAAAAAAAATAATACAAATAAATAAAAAGCAAACATTTTCTGAAAATATTACAAGCACAAACATTAATTAACTTCGTTACGCCGCAACTATAACAAACTTCACACATAAAAAAGTTTTTCACAAAAGACTTGATTTTGATTGTTCAGTTTGTATTAAATGCTAGTGGTCCTATATCGACGGTATAGTGTAATGAGTAGCTTTTGTCGAATGTAAAAAGCCAAAATTTTCTTAAAATATGAAAGTGTTTTAAATAGTATACAGGCATAAATACACTGTTGTTTGTTACAGCAGCGGCATAAATACACTCTTAATACTAAGCGCTATCTCAAGTGTTATGTCACTAGCACATCACATACTTATATACACATAAACAGCAATATTTTACTGCGAAGTTCACTAATTAACAAATAAGCTCGTCAACACTCCAAAATTAGCATATTTTCTTATGTACACCATCAATTTATACCTTGGGCACATTACGATCAATTTCCTTGTGCATGGAACGCGACACCAATAGCAAGCCTGTATGCAAACATGCATCGGGATCGTTGAGTTGACAACCTTTCTCATAATATGTATACGCACTACGCGGATCACCCTTGCTCCCGCTTTTGCCTTTACCTAAGAAACTGTAATTACCAAATTTGAAGCAGGACTTCGCATAACCGTAATCGTCACATGTGGATTTGTAAACTTTAGCCGCCTTTTCAAAGTCCTTCTTTATGCCCTCCAAATAATCGCCCAAAAGATGACAAACTATAATATATATGTACATAAGTTAGTTGTATTAAACAAAAAAGTGTGTACGTGCAATTTGTATAATTGATAAAAGCAACAAATATACAAAGCAAACGCTTGCGAAACAGGCGCTAATACAATGGGGAGGTTAGGTACCCCCTCGACACCCTGGAAGTTACATGCGTAGACTTCAGCGATTGCATATGCGGCTGTTGTATTTTGCTTTGCAGGGAATTAGCGATTTACCCTCTGGTTTCTTCTCCGAATAACAGCCAAAACGATATTCGACGCCCAATTTATCTAAGTACTCCTTAACATCTGATTCTTTCTTTAAATCGTAAGCCATTGTTTATAGTTTTTTCTTAGATATTTAACACTTTTATTGCTAGCGACGTCTGCAGAAGTAGAAATTTGCCGTAATAAAGCAAAATTTGCCGAAATCTGGTGAACTGTCAAAATCACTTGTAGAACAAGATTGCCAAAATTACTTAATCTTGCGATTTATAAAAAAAGTTTGAAAGAACATTGTGCTGTCTTATATTAAATACAGTTGCAAAATTAAAATATTAATTTAGAAATTACAAATATACAACATTTTTACCATGAAACAAAATTAGTTAATTAAATATTTTTTATCACATTATTAGCAACACAGGAGCTCTGAAAATTTCACATCTAGATGTCGCCCCTCTATGAGCAAACTGACAGTTAACGGATATTAAATTTGTCGTGTCATAGAGCGCGTTAAATCAAAGTATATTTTGTTCTTTAATAATTCAAATGTATTTAATAATAGTGTGAATAGTTTTCATTTAAAGCGTAGTAAAACTAGTGAAGGCGGTGTAGTGTAAATAAGTAGTACAAATCGTAAAGTAATTAGAAAAAGTGATTTAAGTGCAATTGCAAAGCGCTTAGCAGCCACAAGGGCTGTACTGAGCTGCTCTTTGATTGAAAATCATGAGCAGAAGCACAAACAATACTTTTTTTCTAATATGTATACAATTGTGTAGTAAAATTTGTTATTGTGCATTAAATTTAATGAATACGCAAAGTGTTGATTCGTAATTATAGTGTGTATGCGCGACCAAATAATGTGTAAAGTTGTTTAAAGCCTTGAATTTATATTACGGGAACAATATGCAGTTGCCAAGAATTATCTTCAAACAGCAATAAATATATTAACGACATAAGAAAGAGCTTACAACAATATCTCTGCAGAAGCGAAGCTGCAATCTCATACTCACTCAGTTGCTACTAACAAGAAAGCAGTTAAAAAAGTATGCCAAAATGGTGGGTTTTATTTTTAACTTTTTCGCCAGCCAGCAAGCATTTATTTTTAAGAGTCCTTGCGAAATCATCCTAACGAGCTAGTTTGCTAATTTTAAACAAATCCACTATGTCTTAATTTCCACAAAACAATTTAATAGGACAGCAAAAAATTTTTGTTTATTAAGTTTCCAATTATTTATAATGCTTACATGCACATTTTCATTATTCAGCAATATTTTCAACACATATTTATTTGTCTATTTACTAGCACTTTATCCACTACGTGCGGTTATGCGTCTAAATAAATAAGTACTTTGTAATATTATTGTTTAATAAATTTGTATGTAATGCATTAATATATATTAAAATGCGCTTATAAATAGTTATTGTACGCTTAACAACACGTTTGAGTGTGTGTTTTTTTTATATTCCAATGTTCGAAAGTAGTTTTAAGTTGGAAATTAAAGCTCGTAGGAAAGGTGGGTAGGGTAATAAAAGAGTGGCATTGCTTGGTAGTGGAAATGTGCAATACAAATAAAGTGGAAAAAGTATGGAAAATTACGGAAAAGGGTTTAAAATAAACCAACCAAAATTTAAAATATTGTATTATAGAAAATATTTTAAAATAAACAACGCAAAACTATTGAGGACCTAGTATATTTTAAAACTAATATTCTAAACCTTTAAGAACCTACTGCTAACAGAAACCTATGTTGATAAAATTTAAATAATTTATTTAGCATTACTTTGAACACTCTTGTTCTTATCCATGCTACTCCCTAAAAATTAATATATGCTTTTGTTTGTTTTTCAATTTTTATTTTTCCTAAACATTTTTGACTTTGTGTGATTTCTGTAATTGCCATGTACTTCCTTTATCATATATGTAGTTTTATTATGTTGTCTTTATTGTACATGTTTTGAGTGCAAACTCGTAGCAGGGTTGCAAATAATGCATTAAAAAAAATTTATTTTTTCGTCCCGAAAATCTTAATTAAAAATAAATTTCCCAAACATCGGATTGAAAAAAAAATTATTCCAAAACCAGATTTATTGAATTTCTTTTTAATTTTTATTCCGTTGGTTAATTAAAAATTTAAAATTAAATTTAATAAATTTTTAAAACGGTTTTTGAGATTCATTCATTAGTTTTTAAACCGCTTTTTAGGTTTATTGAATTTAATTTTAAATTTATTTTTAATTTTTAATCCGGTTTTTATAATTTATATTTTTGTTTAAATAAAAATAAAAAATAAGCTTTTGATTAAAAAACTTAATTGTTTTAGAATTTACATTTTTGCGCGTTTGCGTACATCGTGTTCTACCATTTTTAACTAGAGCTCGCACACAGTCCTCATCTTCTATGCTTTAGAACCGTGGTCGGCAAACTTAAATATCTTATTGCTTGGATAATGTTTCAATTTATGATCCACGCTGTTCGGATTTAAAAAATAATTTTTCAAATTTTACTATTAAATTAAAAAAAAAAATCAAATATTAATTCCAAACATTTTGGATTAAAAATAAAAATTTAAAATTTTAGTTCTGATTTTGCAATTAAAAACTAAATTTTCAATTAGATTTTACATTTTTAATGCCTACATTTTGGCTTAAAAATTAAATTTTTCAAAATATAAAATTGAATTTCAATTTGAAATGCTGATTTTTAGTTTGGATTAAAAATTTAATTTCGTGGATTAAAAATTTGATTCAAAAAATTTGAACAAAAAATTAGATTTCAAATTGGAGTTAAAATTTTGATTTCTTGAACTAAACAAAAAATTAAATTAAATTTCAATTGAAATTTCTAACTTTTAGATTCTTAAATTTAAAAACAAAACATTCAAGAAAATTAAAAAAAAATTAAATGAAAAATAAAATCAATTGAAATTTTAATTTCAAAATTAAAAAATATTAAAAATAAAAAAAAACAATTAAATTTTAAATTTTTAATTCCGATTTTGGGTTAAAAAGTAAACATCTAATATTAAAATTTTAAAGAAAAAAAATTCGCAAAATTCTTGAATTAAAAAAATAAAAAACAAATTTTAAAAATTACATTTCGATTGAAATTTTAATTTCAAACTTAAAAAATAAAAAAACGTAAGTTACAAAAAAAATAAAACAGTGATATTTAAAGTTTTTAATTTCGATTTTGGGAATAAAAATTAAAATTCTAATATTGGAATTTAAAAAAAGAAAAACATCGCAAATTTCTTGAATCAAAAACTAAAAAGAGATTGAAATAAAAATAAAACTACAATGGAAACTTTAATTTCAAAATTAAAAAATAAAAAAATTAAAATTAAAAGAAAGAGAAAAAGAAAAATAAAGCAATTAGTATTGAAATTTTTAAGAAAAAAATTCGCTAATTTCTTGGATTAAAAAATTAAAAAAAAATAAATTTCGATTGAAATTTTAGTTAAAAACATAAATAAAAATATTAAAATGAAGAAAAATTAAAAATTAAATTTTTAATTCCGATTTTGAGTTAAAAAGTAGAAATCTAATATTGAAATTTTAAAGAAAAAAAATTAGCAAAATTCTGGAATTAAAAATTAAAAAAAATTCAAGGAAAAACAAAACTTCAATTGAAATTTTAATTTCAAAATTAAAAAATTTACAAAGAATTACAATAATAAATATAATTTAATTTTCAGATTTTAATTTCGTTTTTAATCTAAATTTCAATTCAAAAGTTTTGAAGCGAAAAAATCACAACCCGGCTCTTAACAATAAACTCAAATACATTTTTTTGTTTATGTTTTAATGTTTTTAGTTTTTCTTTATTGTTTGTAGCTTTCTCACTTATTCTCGAATACATGTTTTAATATTTGTTTTTATTTCATTGAATTGCAACAACTCACAAAGTAATAATGCCGTTTCACAAGATACTTGTTTGTATATTTTGTATACATATACATATGTATGTTATATACGTCATAATATATTTATATATACATAACTATGTATGTATGTATGTAGGTATATATGTATATAATTAATGCATCACTTTTGATGCAGGTGAAATTTTTTGGGAATCGTTATTACCGTGTACTTATTTAATTAAAACAATTTATTTACTTTAAAGTAATTTAATATCATACTTTTTAGCTCAGCTGTTGCTCGAAATTTTTGTTGTTGTTTTTCGTTTTTGTTTTTATTGTTGTTGTTGAAAGAAATCCACATTTTACTTAGATTATTAAACTTTTTTCTACTTAAAATAAAATAAGTTTTGAAATGGGGATATTCTTAGCTGTGTTTAGCGCTAGCTGTTTCTGCTCGTTAAGTTCTCATTTAGTGGCTGTGGCGCTTTTGCACGCAATACGCTTAAATGTAATAATAATTAAGTTAAAATTAGAAGCGTTTCAAGTTGTTTTGCGGTGTAGTGTTTTTGTTTTTTGTTTTTGTTTGCCTTGTTGTCTCTGCCGTTGTTGGTAAAATTGTTGTTTTTGTCGTTGTTGTTGTTATCGGTGCATAACAATAAATATTTTCATTTTGTATTCAACTAAACGCATTTGCTTCATCATTTACGAATTTCGCTGTTGGCTAATTTATTTATTTTTGCTTTTCAAATAAAACTATTTCGCAATTTATAGTTATAGGTTTTTGGTTATTTCCACATTTGATTCACGTCTTCTATCCAACAACAAATCGGCGCCTTCGTTATTGAACACTTTTCATTTTCACTTTCATTTACTTTTGCACCATTTTCATCAACATATCGGTCGACAAGGATTTTGGTCGCTCAATGGGCAGACCCAAGGCACGATCCCAGATCAATGAAGCCAAGACACCAAGCGCACGCGAAACACCGAACAATACGGTGTAGTAATTCATTTCTTTCATGCCGTAGTATTGCAGCAATACACCGGAGTGAGCATCTACATTGGGCCATGGGTTCTTGACCTTGCCGGTTTCGGTTAGAATTGGTGGCACAATCTTGTAGATCTTCGACACCAGTTGGAAGAGATCATCGTTAGGCAGGTGTTTGAGCGCGAACTCACGTTGGCAGGTGTAGCGTGGATCGGTCTTACGTAGCACAGCATGACCATAGCCGGGCACAACCTGTCCCGATTTTAAGGTCTTCCAAACGTAATCCTTCAACGCATCCTCAGTTGGGTTGGCACCCAATTCCTTTTGCAATTTGCGCAACCACACCAACACTTCTTGATTGGCCAAACCGTGCAATGGACCAGCCAAACCGTTCATGCCAGCAGCGAACGATAGGTAGGGATCGCTCAAAGCGGAGCCAACCAAGTGCACAGTGTGTGCAGAAACATTGCCACCCTCGTGATCGCTGTGAATGGTCAGGTAGAGACGCATCAATTCGGTGAATTTGGGATTGTCATAGCCCAGCATTTTGACAAAGTTGGCAGACCAATCCTGACTGGAATCGATCGATTTGGAGCCTTTGCCACCACGATAGGTATTGCAGTAGATGGTTGCCGCAACGACAGGCAATTTGGCAATCAAGTCCATGCTGTCCTCGTACACGTACTCCCAGTACTTGGTCTTGTGTACACCCTTTATGGAACCAAATAAAAAAAGCATATAATTTGCATTAGTTCAAATTAAGTGTAAAATAGTTTACAAGAAGCGAGAAAAGTCTGCAGACTTCTCTACTTACCTCTGAGTAGGCCTTAGCGTATTTGCTGTCGTGATTCAATGCAGTGACGGCGCATGCGAATTGCGACATTGGATGCAAAGTGGTGGGCATGTTATTCAACATGGTGACTACATGTTGTGGCAGTGCAGCGCGTTCGGCCCATTCCTTCGACAATTGTTTGACTTGTCCCTTGGTTGGCACATCACCGGTAAGCAACAACCAGAAGAGACCTTCGGGCAATGGCTCTTCACCGCCTTCGGCCTTGGGCAAGACCTTTTGGCATTCGGGAATGGAAAGACCTCGGAAACGGATACCCTCATCGGCGTCCAACACGGAGGTTTCGCAAACGAGACCCTTAATGCCACGCATACCACCATACATCTGCAAAGAAATAGAGCGTAAACAACGTGTTAAGCTTTGAATTGATTTTGCTTCTCAGTCAAGCAGGTTAAGGGGTTTACTAATTGTAGTTATTGTATAATGAATAATATATTGCAGAAAAGTTATAAATTTATCTAGAATGCTGAAAATAGAACTAGAAATTATGCCAGTTTCGTTCCGTTACTTTTTATATCCTAAACAGGGTATCTTAAATTTGCCACGAAGTTTGTTACACGCAGAAGGAAACGTCGGAGACTCTATAAAATATATACAAAATTATTTTTTAAACATGTTTTATATATTTTATATTATTTTATTATTATATTTTATTATTATTATAATTTTTTTAATACGTTTTTATAATAATTTTTATTTTTTTATATTTTATTACTATTATTATTTGTTTTATAATAATTTTTATTTTTATATATTTTGTTATTATTATTATTTTTTTAAATAATTTTTTTTATACAATAATAATTTTAACTTTTATATTTTTTATTATTTTAATAATTTTTTCAATATATTTTTTTATAACAATTTTAATTTTTTTATTTTTTATTATACTTTCATATTATTATTTTTTAATATTTTTTTTTATAATAAAGTTTGCTTTTTTTAAATTTTGTTAATTTTTACTATTATTTTTTATTATATTTTATAATAATTTTTATTTTGATATTTTTTATTACATTTTATAATAATTTTTATTTTTATATTTTTAATTATATTTTTTATTATTAGTATTATTTATTTACGAATATTTTTTTAATAATTTTAACTTTTATTTTTTTTATCATATTTTATTATTAAAATATTTTTTTTATAATAATTTTAATTTTTTTATTTTTTATTATATTTTCATATTATTATTTTTTAATATTTTTTTTATTGTAATAAATTTTTCTTTTTTTTAAATTTTATTAATTTTTATTATTATTTTTTTAATTTTTTTATATTTTTTTTTTTTGTATTTTTTTATAATTTTTATTTTTTTTATATATTATTATTGTTATTTTTTATAATAATTTTAATTTTTTTTTATTATATTTTCATTGTATTATTTTATAATAATTTTTTTTTATAAATTTTTATTATTATTATTATTTTTAATTTTTTTTATAGTTTTTTTTAATATTTTTTATTATATTTTATAATAATTTTTATTTTTATACTTTTTGTTATATTATTATTTTTTTTTTAATATTTTTTATATAATAATTTTTATTTTTATATATTTTATTATTATTGTTATTTTTTTTATATTTTTCTTATAAGATTGGTTTTTTTTATATTTTTTTATTATTATTATATTTTAATAATTTTCTTATAATAATTTTTAATTTTATATTTTTTATTTAATTTTATTTATATATATATTTTTTATTTAATAAAATGTTTTAATTTTTTTTTTATAATAATTTTTATTTTCATAATTTTTTATTATATTTTATTATTAATATTTTATATAAATATTGCATTGAATTGCAAATGTGACTTATAAAGCAGTGTGAATTTATAGCACAAGAATACTTGCAATTTTAAAATTTTCTTTGCATTTTGACCCTTTGACCTTCGCGAAAGATGCCAGCAGCGCAAATGTTATTGCTAAGTGTAAACGACATGTAAAATTCGCAGTTACATATAATATATTTAATATAAGTACATACATATATTTGATTGAATTGACCACACCCACGCTGTTTTATCTAAAGCAATAACAATGGCAATAGCATTGCGTGACGAATTGGCGTAGCTTTTGCTCAAAAGAACGAGATTGCATTCTTTCGCTATTGTTATGTTTTGTTTTTTTATTAAACAAGCAGCATTTTATTTATAGTATTTTTTAAATATATGCCAGTATGTGCTATGTATGTATATTTAAAAACTACATAGTATATATATATATATATATACCGATACATACGTATAGTATGTTTTTATGTATATTCCTATTGAAATGGCCAAATGCCAGCAATTATCTAATAGAAAATTTTTTAGTTGCAATGGCAGTTTTTTAATATATTTTCTTGTTCTGCTTGCAACTGCTGTTTTTTGATTACATAATCACCATTTGCAAGTCAGAGAAATAAGTATACAAATATATTGTATATGCTTTCACATATATTTTTAAGGGTCATATATAGGGTTATATTTGCGTATGTAGTATGTACTTATATGCAAACATTTCTAAACACATATATGTATGTATGTATGCATGTATGTATTGTTATTTTGGCACAAATTTTCATTTCACTTTTCTCTCATTTCCTCAAATTCTTGTATTTATACGCTTTCACATATTTTTTTGCTAATTTTTTTCTTGAAAATTATTGTATACTTGAGTTGCAAATATTTTAGGGTGGGTTTAAGTGAAAAAAAAATAACTATTACTATAGATGAATGAAAGTAATGTTCGAAGGACAAATTTTAAGGAATTTTGATTTTTGACAAATGCCTAAAAAAATTTGTTTTTTGTGAAAAAAGGTATGCCACTGGCTTAAAAAATCGATATTGTTATCGAAAATCTTATTTCTTCGATTACTACATGACAAATATAGCTGAGAAGGTCGTGTTAAAATTTCAATTCGTTTGGTCTAGCCATTCGCAAATAATTTCCTCACGGACTATGAAAACAACGTTGCGAAAAAAATGCGTTTAAAGTTTTGGGTAATCGGCTACCAGTTTAAATTAAAAAATTATTACAAATACGCTCATATCACCGAAGCTATTTGCCTGAACAATTTCAAGTTTTCGCAGAATATTCTCAAATATATACATTCAATATTTACACAAAAAAAATAATAAATAGATTTTTGAAATTCACAATGGGCTACAACCGTTTAATTAGCTATTTAAATTAAGTTACATTTCTTATTTTGTCTCGATTAAAAATTTGTTATTATACATATAAACAATTGCTTGCATTATATGTAAAATAACAGTTTACTCATTCAAAGAATATTTGGCTAAAACAGCTATGCTACATATTTATAGCAGTATAAATGTTAACGCCTTATCAGTAAAAGTTAGGTGTACCAAATTTATGATTTTTTTGTGTTGATTATACCAGCAATGTAAATGAGTCTAATTTATATAGCGATAGTGCTACTGTATAAGAAAACAAAAAATATGGTTGTCGTCTAGCGGTTTAATTTTCGCTATCAGCATTTTTTATTTGATAATGGCGTTTAAAAAAATAACTAAAAAATTTTGATAAGGAAAACTTAGTTACTTAATAATTATATCATAATTAGCAATATTTTGATTAAAAATGGCATGCGTAAGTTTTACCACTGCTTTTTTTTAATTTTCGTATACACATTTCAAAGCTCTAAATTTTATAACCTTAAAACTATTTATGCTTGCCATATGAAATTCATTTGTATAGAAATTTTATTGCTAATACATTATTATTTATTGCCAAGTCATCGTATTTAAATAACAAATCATGTGAAATTTATATATATATATGCATTGTTTAAAATTAATTTCACACCACAGCGCCGCTTGCGGCTATTTCGCTTTGCACTAACTTTCTAAAACAGTCGTTTCGATTAGACAAATATTGCTAAAATGTGTATAAAATACTTAATATTATATATATTTTCGTATAAAAAATTGTTTGAACTTCAACTCGCGCGTTTTTAGCGTACTAAGTGCGCTGTTTTTCTAAAACTTTACTATGTGGCGTTTTTCGCTATGGACTTAGGCGCATTTACGCTATGCAACTAACTGCTAATTTTAGTTATCACGTGTTTTAGAATATATTAAAATCTTTTTTGTATTACAAATCAATAATTTTTTTTGTACCCCCCTACTTACCATATCAATGGTGGTTTCACCCATTTTGGTGGCACCATATTGCTTCCTGAAGTTCTTTACACGCTCCTGTTCGGCTGGAATTTTAGCAGCGAGCACATCACGCAAGCTCGAATCGGCAGAGATGAAACGCACCAAAAGGCCATTCAGTTTCTATAAATGCAAAAAAGCAAAAAAAAAATTAAATAAACTACATAAAAAAAAACAATTCAATTAATTTAAATATGTATGTATATTGTAAAAGAAAAATGCTTTCCAATACTAAACGCTACAATTTGAAACGCCAAATGCAAAAACTTCATAATAAAATCGACATTTCATTATGCAGCAGTCGCTAACCGCTACGTACGCAGCGCGCGCCTTTAATCAAACGATCCGCTACACAATTCCATTTCAAGAGTCAAACCAATAAGCCATTGCACATTATCACTTGGCCGCTTGGCAGCCGAAGCCGAAGCGCGGCTCGACAAAAGCAACAACGTGTGCTAGCGCGCTGCATTGTTGTGTAATATGTCATTGTCATTGAATTGTACCCAACAGTTTTGATAGCGCTTAAACGTTGCGAAATTTCACCACATGTTGCGACTGCCTGTCTGTCCGTCCGTCTAGCACCTCAGTCGTGCAAGTGAGCGTAAAATGTCTGGCAGTCATAAATCTTTGCAAGTGATAAGCAGCTTGCTGCGTATACTAACTACTCCAGCCGCTACTCTGTGATAATATAAAAAATACTTGTAGTATTCAAATGATCGTAAAGCGTGGACTTGTGGCGGCGCTAGATGGGCTGATACGCATACTGCACTGCACTATATATATACGAACAAATTACTTGTGGAATATTTTCATTTTTAAATAGTGTGACTTTCCATACATATTTATGAAAATTCAATGTCAATATAGACCTACATACAAACATACAACATGCGCTGATAGTAAAAATTTTAAAAAGTAGTGATTTAAACGTGTTTCTTACGGCGTGTCACATACATATTTCGGTATAAAAATATAAAATTTGACATTTAAGCATGTGCAAAGGTCTAATGGATCTGCAGCACACTATCAAAAAAATTTTTTTTCACAACGCTATTTATACATGGCAAATACATTGAAATCAAGGTAGTGAATTTTCTAATTAAAAAATTTGAATTCTCAAATTCATTCAAAAAATTTTGAATTCTAAAAAAAAAAAATTTAATTAAAAATTAAGTTTGAAAATTTTTTAAAAGTTAAATATGAACATTTTATTTTAAAAATAATTAATAATTAATTTAAATTTTAATTCACTTTTGAAATTTCAGGGTTGCGAATTTTTTAAAAATAATTTTGGCAACTGTTAAAAAATTTAAAATAAAAAATACAAATAAAAATTGCCAATTCTGAAGCACAAATTTTTAAATTTTATTTTTAGGCCTAAAATCAAAATTTTCCAACTTCAGGCTTGCAAATTTTCTAATTAAAAATTTTTGTATTAAAATTTTTATTTTCAATTTAATTTACATTTAAGCTTATAATTAAATTTATATTTAGTGAATTGAAGTGCAGCGAAACTGTTAAAAAATCGTAAATGAAATTATTAATTGCAAAATCGAAATTAAAAATTGGAAATTTAATTTTCATACCAAAAATCAGTTTTAAAATGTGACAAAATATTTTTTTATTTTAAAAATTCCAGCAAAAGTTAAAAATCTTATTTTTCAAATCAAAAACTGGAATAAAAAGTGATAAAAACAATTAAATATCTAGTTATCAAAATTTTTAGTGCTCTTCTTTCAAACTAATACATATAAACTACATATTTCTAGCAAGTACATACATCAAGTGGCTCACTTTATAGGTGATCTCCGCGATTTAAGCATTTTATACATGTAAACAGTGGGCTTACCAATTTTGAATTTATCGAAAATCGATAATTATCAACAAATGGCTAGTACAATGTAAATGCTTTGTTTACATTTTAAATGTCCCACTATAATAAAATCGTTATAAAAAATGTCATAAAAATGATTTTTAAAGTCCAGTGAAACCGTTATTCGTGTAATACAATAAAACTTTGGTTAATAGTCGCGCTAACGTAAAAAGCTTAATGTAAGGAATAGGTTGGGTAATATACATACATAAGTGTTGAATAAATGTCTGAGTGATACCGAGGAAAACAGTTTTGTGTAATATTTTATACATATGTACATACATACATATGTGATCTTTGCAATCTTTTTTTTGGCGTTTTGCATTTTTTGTTTTGCTTAGCTTTAATACGTTTCAAACCAGCAAGCATTCAAACTCCGTAGACTTTACGCGCTGCATTTGCAGCAATTTTACTATGTAATATATTTTAAAAAAATTTGTATTTTAAAAGACTTCAAGCGTACACATTCCGCCATTATGCTGATAATGCAATCGGCACAATTTTATTTAATTTGCAAAATATGAAAATTAATAATATACATATAATGATTGGAAAAATGACAAACGGCGCGAAATCTTACGACCAAGCAGCCATAAGTCAAAATGACTTAGACTTTGTTCACAAGAGGACATTTTTGTTGCCCAACCCGGTTTTTTGTAGGCGAAAGGACGTCAAGAATAGACGTGGCACGTGTTTGGGTGGCACGCTTTGTGTTCTTGTTCGTAACAGTTCGCTGCTACGTAATACGGCATGCCTTTCTATTTTGAAATTATTTTCATGGCTGTAATCGCGCTCGGTTGGAAATTAATATTTACATTATGTTCGGAAATTCGGGGCTGTATGAGAATAAAAACTACCTAATCAAAAATAGTTTTGTGCACCGCGTACATGCAGCGTACAAGGATTTGAGTATATAATAAGAAAGGGAATGCAGAAAATTGTTCGACTCTAGTTGCCGCACTCGTGTCACACGTGTGAACGCAATAGGCAATAACATAAGAGAATTTCCTTAAAATTAGCGAGAAAACTTACCGCATATAAACACAGTTTTAGAAAGGCTTTGGCGGCAATGCTCGTTTGTGGAGCGTAGCTTGTGTGTGCGAAAAATATAATAAATATAATAAAAAGCAAGCAGCCCTTTTTCTGCCGTTGATGGCAATATAGCGCTTGCCTACATCGCTAAATCTATCAACATACAACCAATTTGTGCGATGATGACAGCGATTTAATTTAAATATGCCAAGCGTATAGATGCATATTGCTACAGAAACATGCATAAACAAGCATGTGCCCGCTAAATGGGTTTGTTGTCACCAGAGTGCGGCAGTGGGTCAATGAATTCGATTGACTGTTGAACTTGCTGCGCGCATATCGACCCTGGCCGTGAATGCAATGGAAATTTACACGATGTGTTCGCAAACATTTTGCAGTATTTTTTAATTTTTTATTGAGCATTATAAACAGGTGTGCGGTTAAAAACTGGCTTTAGTGGTAGGATGGGGGAAAACGCAAACATGCGTGCCGCGCGCAAAAAATTAAATTAAAAAAAAAACGCTCAAAATAATAGCTGCTGATCACGCTATCGATAGCTAGCTCTACAGCGCTAATGAATTTGCTGATTTTTCGCAGGAAATTTCACGAATAACGCCAGTGATGTTTCAGCAAAAAATAAACCAGTTTGCCTTCAAGCTTCAGAATGCAATTGGAAAATAAGCGTGTAACAATAATAATATTGTCTATAAACTTCGTGCCTATTTACTTACTAAATTAATGAATATAAAATACATGAACTTGCACTTCAGCGGTAGCGACTAACGAGTGCAGCGGAAATTGCCGATAATTAGTAATTAAATAGTAAGCTTATATGTAGCACACGAATACGCATATAAAGATGTTTGAGAAAGAGATAGCATGCTGGAACTTTAGTTTTTACAACCGTTAGCATTAATAGCGCACTAAGCAGTTAGGCGCCTTGAGATGTTATGCTTTTGATAAAGTTGCGCTTTTGTTTGCGGTTTATTTATGGCGTCATTTGCTAGCGCTGACTGCGATTAATATTTATTTTTTTTTTCGCTTGGCATGCATTTGGCAATTAAATGACTGACAAATTGCACATGTGATTTGAATTAAAGCTGATATGTGCTTATATAAACTGTTGTCATGAACGGCAACGACATATATAATTTTTTTTTAAATCATTGACGCCGTTGCTGTGAACATTTTGTGCTCAAACTCAAGACCTCATATGGCAAACTGTTTGTATTTGTTAAGATATTTCCCGAAATTCGGCGTAGTTTATTTTCAAAAGCATAATTTGCACAAATTTCATGAATATTCCGCAGTAATACCCCACGTTAAAACATGTTAAGCTTCATTCACAATTTTTTTAAATTTTTTTTTGTCAAATATTTCATATTTCTATTTGGTACAAAGCACGCGCGTATCACTTGCTTAAATCAGCTGATCGCACGACATCAAAATGACTACTAGATTAATTGATATTTGCGAACACGTGTTGGCTGCTGTCAATTGTTAGCAAGCGAAAAGACAACGCCGCTAAAATAATAATTTCGTGCAGCGAAAAAAAAACTAAATTTTTTTTGATTGGCATAAAACGGTAGCGGCTGCAAGCGATACGCTGTGCACTGCATGTGAATAAGTGCTGCGCTGAAACGAATATATTCATGCACATAAATTTGCATAAATACAAATAAACAAAAATTTAAGTTCCTCCAGTTCAGGCAGCTACAATCCACACTTTTATCACAATTTACATAAATTGTTTGTAGAAAAAATCGCAATTTTCTTGCATTTCCGCAAATCTTTTGCAACCGCATAAATCATACTCAATAAACGCAAATCAAAGCAAGTGCTAAGCGTATGGTAAGGTGAAATGCCTGAATGGCAAAAACTGCTGTCGCTTGAACTTCAGCTTCAGCTGCTATTTTTGAGCAGAACAAAATGCTGCAGCAATTGCATAATAGTTTTGCACCAACTTTGCTTCATTGAGCAGCGCTTAGCACGTCATAAGCCTAACAGTATTTGCTGTATGTATACGAGGCATTGAAGCGGAAAATATTATATGATATGGTGTTAAGAAAGCTTAGCTGTAACAAAAAACTACAAATACGGCTGGTGTAAGGTGAGCGCGTTTGTCGGCGCTCAGGTGACAAAGTTTAATTAGTTACTTTTTGTTTTGCTAAATAAGTGCGGCGTAAACAAAATCAACAATTATGAATACGTTAAAAGC